TTATTATAAGTGGTATCGACTGTAAAATATTATTCTCTAATATTGTTGCAAATATACAAAAACATAACTGATTTTTATAATGACTTTATAGTCATTAGTTTAGCTAAATTTACTTACTCCTTCTAATAACTCACCTGGAGAGTCTATGTATGCAATCATATTCACAGATAATATCAGGTTAGTATTTTTTCTTTTTCGTGTTTTTTCTAATACTTAAGTTTTAAAATTTCTTTTTCTTGTCTAAATTACTCTGGCTCAATGTTAGAAGTGCTGAGTGTATCATTCCTGATCTCCAGTAGAAGATTCCTATTGATGATTAAATATGGACGTATTAGATATACCTTTTACAGATCAAGGGGTTCCCTTTTAATGCTAGTTTGATGAGAGTTATATTTTATCATGAACAAGTATTGAGATACTTTTTAATATATCTTTTTATACATCTTTTGAGATGGTCATATGTCTTTTTATCTTAATTTTATTACCATGGTGAATTATATTGATTGATTTGTAAATGATAAACCAATGTTACACTTTTGGAATAAAGTCTGCTTTGTCATGGTATCTGATCCTTGTACTACAACTCTAGATTTGATTTGCTAATTTTTTGTTTAGAATTTTTATGTCTATGTTACAGAACAAGATTGACCTGTTATTTTCCTCTCCTGGAATGTCCTTGACAAGTTTCAGTACCAAGGTTATGCTGGCCTCATAAAATGGCTAGTAAAGTATTTCTTCTTTTTTTTTTTTAAACTCCCTGGAAGAGTTTGTGTAAGCATTCATACTATTTTTCCTCAGATGTTCAAAGGAATTTGTCACTCAAACATCTGGGCCTCAAGATTTTTTTGTAAGAAATTTTAAATTAAGAATACAATTTCTTTAGTAAATATATGAGTATTCAAAGTACCTATTTCTTCTTATATGTTTTTGCATTTTCCAGGAATTTGTCCATTTTACCTGCATTTTCAAATATATTGATGTTAAATTCTTCGTAATATCATCTTAATATTTTTGTAATGTCTATAGGGTATATATTGGTAATTTATACCAACTCCCTTTTTATCTATTTCAGTCTTTCTGGGGATTCATTTGTTAGACTTTCCTCTAAAAATATGGAAAAATGCACAGAAATTCATTAGACAATTAAAATAATAAGAGAATGTCAAGTGATAGGTATATAGTATGTTGGTAATTGAAATCAGGAGAAATTGTAATTGATTGGAAAGCTCAAGAGGGAAGTATTTGTGAAAAAGCTTGAAGGAAAGGTAGAATTTTGACAGCATAAATAGAAAAGGCATTGTTGGCCAAGGGAAACTCGGAAATAGTCGTTTGGATCGTGTGTGGTAGAAAACTGAGGAAAGATGGGAAGGTCCAGACAATTAAGATCTGAGCCACAGACGATGGGAAGACATTGAATTTATATTTTCAATATTCTGATATTTGATAAACAGAGGGAATAATGTTGAGGAAAGAACCCAAATTGTCCAGGCCGGTGAGTGTAAGGATGACGATAACACTTCCAGAAGAAAAAGAAGGCAAGAGGGAGGGCATTTCAGGATTAGAAATATAGACTTCAAGCCGGGCTCGGTGGCTCAGCCTGTCATCCCGTGCCTTGTGAGGCTGAGGTGAATGGATTGCCTGAGCCCGCGGGTTCGAGACCCTCCTGGGCAACTTGGCGAGACCTCTACGATAAATCTCTACAATAAGTCAAAAAATCAGCCAGGCGTGGCAGTGCGCGCCTGTAGTTCCAGCGACTCGGAAGGCTGAGGCGGAAGGATCGCCGGAGCCCAGCGGGTCGAGGCTGCGGGGGCCGGGAGCGGCCAGTGCACTCTAGTCTGGGCGACGGAGTGAGACTCCAACTCAGAAAAAAGAAATATAGACTTCATAGGTCCCAGCATAAAGCTCCAGGCTGGCGCAAGCCAGTGAAGGAGTTGTTAAGACAGGAAACAGCCCAAGGACTTCCTCAGGCTGAGTCCAGAACCACCAACTTGACTCTCTTTAAGGAGTAAGAGAAGGGAATCAGTGAGCACAGATGAAAGAAGAGAGCCTGGAGACACAGAAGCCAGGAAAGCATGCTTTCCAGTAGGGGAGAGCTAATTGTATCCGACTCTACAGAATGGCTGAGGGCCGAGAAGGCCCCAGGACCTGGCATGTGGGAAATCACTGTTGACCTCTGTGGTGTTTATGGTGATAGCAAATGGTTTGGCATCAATGGGAAGAGAGAAAAGAGAGAGACTTATTGTAAGCGGCATGCTTTTCCGGGCTGTGTGACCCACTCTGTCTTCCATTAAGCAATTATTAATCGACTCTTTCCATATCCCAGGCCCCACGCTAGGTATTCATCATATGGTGTAAAACAAAATAGACATGATCCCTCTCCTGTTGAGCTCATATCTAATGAGAAGGTAAACATGAAACAAATGCAAAGAAATGACTAAAAACCATATTAGTGCCTGGGTAGAAAGAAGAGGGAATTATGAGAGAGAATACAAGAAAGAGGCTGATATAGATGACAGGGAGGGATCAGGGAGCACATAGCCATGGATTACATGTAGGGGCATGAATGGCTTCTGACAGCACTGAACTCACCAGATGGGCTACTGGAATGCCTCCTTCGGGGGCCGAGTGTATTCGCAAGTTCCAGAACTTACAGGGCATCATGACTCCCCAACTTCATATAATACGAAAACCTTACTCCTCACCACATGTCTATCTTCAGGAGATGGAGAAATCAATCAGAAAGCAGAAACCACCACAAATCAAAGGGGGAAATTTGTCGTTTGAGGCAAAATTTTCTTCAAAAGAACATGGGAAAGATCAACCCACCAGTGTCGAGTTATAGTGCTGGGAGATTATGAAAGCTAATATGATTAATTGTAATTATCATTTATAATGTATATACATAATGATAGTGCGTCTAGAACATCTTCATTATCTTTCACTTTTGAAATGCTTGGGTTTCCCAACAGAATTGAGACGGGGCTTTTATTAGGCCCAGACCATCAATCCAAACCTTTTAAGGTAAGGGTGTTGCTACCTCAGAAGCCAGAGAGACACTTCCTAGCCTGGAAAGAAAGCACTAAATAGTCATTAGCTTCTTCAGTCTGTTTACTAGCCCGCCTGTCTTTGGAGTTCGACTGGCTTCAAAATTAACACTCGGCTCTATTTGTCCATCGCATGGCCGTCCCACAGTCAGTGTTCTCAAGTGGCCTCAGGCAAGCCTTGTCTCATGCCAGAGCTAGGTTCCTAGGGAAAAACATGTCTAAATTGAATTTGGTTTATTCAGCTCCATTGGAAACGAAGCCTGTGTTTAAAAGAAAGCCATACTCAATTATGTTTAAAGCGAGTGCCCATTGTGTGATGGAACTGGTCTCAGAGATCCCAGTTTGGGGAGTTTGGGTGCCCTGTGTTTACCCTTGTGGCAATGTCAAGATCAGGTTGGCCTCTTTCCCCTCCTAGGCTCCCTTTGCAGGAGCAAGGAGTCTCCAAGCAGCACTGCTCTCCCCACGCTCCATTAAGCCCTCTCTCTCCATCTCTGGCCATCCTCTGTCTTTCTCAGTTTCTCCTGACTGCCCTTGAGGTCTCCTCAGTCTTGTCTCACTTGGGCACCTGCTCTGTGGGAACCCGCATCACTGGCCGTCTTGGCTGGCCCATGCACCTCAGCCTGTTTGTGTTAAGGCCCTTTGGAATCCACAGGGACAACTCACCAGTGACCAGGGGCTGAGCAGCTGTATCAACTCAGCTTGGGGAAGCTCAAGTATCCAGTGATCTTGGCTGTGTGAAGTTTGAAATTCAGCCCAACATATTACTCACGGCAAAACCGGGGGCCAGCCAAGTTAAATAGAGCACTCCCCGAAACATTCACGGACTGATTAGAGGAGGAAGCTCCGATGTGAAGAGAGGCGATTTTGTGCCTGCTTTTATTTTTTTAAACAACACGCTCTCCGCAAGTGAGACGGGAAAAGTAGAAACCTCAAAGAACGCTATTTATTAATTTAAAAAGCTAAGGCCTGAGACCATAGGCCATGTCCTTTTAACTACGTAATAACGGCCACACTTTTGCCAACCTCTTCCTTTGTCCAGAAACTGTGCTAAGCTCCTTGTAAGCATTTTCTTACTTAATCTTCGGGATAACTCTGTCGTGTAGGTGCCGGTTTTAGCCCCCTTTGCAGATGGGCAGACTGAGGCCCAGAGAAAGCAAGCACATACTGCTTTTAAGTGACAGAGCTGGAATTTGAACCTCAGCAGCCTGCCTTTGTATTCTTACCTGTTCTCAAACAAACGCAGGTACCCAGGAACTTTCACAAAGAGAATCCCTCAAGAGAAAGCTGTGACATGATCTCACAGGCTCATAAGTGGACACTACTTTTTGTTTGAAAGAACTCTGAAGGCCAGGAGTTCAACAAGGCAGAACACACCCCATTGAACCAAGCAGGACTTGAGTCTGCGGATTATTTTCTGACCAGAAGGAATTCATGGACTTGGAGGAAGAAAGGAGGTCATTTAATGGACTGACAGAAAATGGTTTTGTTTTCCATTGTGTTTATTCCCTCGCAGAACTGTTCAAATCTTCCCCGGCCATGGGTCATTCCTTCTGCTGGCCTTTCTACCTGGAAGTGTTTTGAGAGGTCTGAAGCGAGGTCCCGGTGTCCCGCACTGGTTGGGTCTGTCCTTTCGTTGGGTCAGGGTACCCGCACTGCCTTCGCAGTTGCACGTCCGCATAGACATGTTTACTGGAGCACTGAGGATCTCACGTCTCAAAAAGCCCCGGGAATTAGATTGTTTTCCACACTGAAAGTTTTCGTTTGAAAAATAACCCTCTTTGTTTAACTAATGAAAAGGAGGGGCTGCCGCTCGCTTCTCAGGCCGGGTAGGAATTCCATGGGCAGCAATTCCATTTCTCAGTGGAAAATGTTTCGGCTTCTTAATGTTGTTTTGCAGACGGGTCCCTGCCCAGGCCTTGCTCCCAGGACCACACATACACACATGTGCACACTCACCCATGCACAGTGCGGCGTTTTCCACCCTTCCCTGTTGGGGGCTGGGGATGGCTGCCTCCTCTTTCCAACACCTGCAGAACAAAAACGAGGTGGGTCCGTGGCTGTCACCCAGCCAGAGGCATCCCTGCGTGGACGGGAACAGAACGCTTTCCCGGGCCGTGCTCTCAACCCCAGAGGCTGGGTGGGCCACAGAGGAAGGAAATTGGACGCCAGACTCCTCTTGTTTCTGTGCATCTCCATGTCAAGCAATTCTCTCACACCATGGAGGGGGTGGTCTGTAGCATTCCCTGCTCATTAGGTCCTTACGAAATGGTGGTAAACACAGGGCTGTCATCGCTGAACTTACAGCGTGGCCAGCATGGTGCTGAGTGGTCTGGTTTGCACAAAACAAATCAAGATACAGCCCCAGGAGGCAACTTAGCGGGGTGGGGGAAGCATGGATGCTCACGAGACAGACCTGCTCTGTCACTTAAACAGCTCAGCCAATGGGCAGCGACAGCTGACAACTGAACCCTCTGGGCCTTCATGTACACAGCTAGGGACCAGGGAAGGCACTTATCTCACAGGGATGTATAGAGCTGTGGTTGGTGTTTGTCACACAGTAGGTGTCGAGGAACATCTGTCTCCTTCCCTCCCCTTTGCTTTCTGAAAACGAGCCATCTCCTCTCTAACTGGGGAGAGAAACCCCATTCCTGTAAAACAAGCTACAAACAATTGCAGGCTGCCCCGGCAGAGCTGAGCCCAGAGCAGGGCGTCCCTGCCAAGGAACGCTGCAGAGTGAGTGTGTGCCGTCGAGGGGGTGCTGTGTTTTCTTCTAGGGTTGCAAGATCTGTCACCGGTGGGAACTGCTAGATCTGTTATCCAGGAATTTGAAGAATTCCCTCTCCAGAATCTTTGTATGGGAAACATACATCTGCCCTGAATGTGTGGCTTCGACACAGTTCTGCTTAAAGCAAGCAAAAGGGTTGGCAAGATGACCACTATGTGAAAACAGACATTGAGGCGATCCACGTGCATTAAATGCGAAGAGAAGATTGGCTGTTAGTATGGGCAAATGAATAGCTTTGAAAGTAGATAGGGATAGTTAGAAACAAGCCTGTCGGTCAGGCTGTTTGGGTTTTAAGTGATAGAAACCCTCTTCAATATCACATCAAGCAAATAAATAAATAAATGTATTGATTCACATAACCAAGACATTCTTTGTTAGAGCTTCAGCTGGGGCTGAATACACAAAGTCACATTATGTTGTGAGGGCATGCTGGCTGGCTTGCTCTCTTTCTCCCCTCTCCGTCTCTCCCTCCACGTCTCTGTTTTGTCTGATAGCCTAATTCTCTCCTCTTTCTAAATAGCATCTTACTCCCAGCTTAGCAGCCCCAGCAGAGAAAGAAACGCTCTCTCTCGACATCGATGTTTCAAAGCCAGGGAAGATTCTAATGGATCCAACCTTCAACCTATCACTGGTAGAGGATAAGGCCCTACAATTCCTTTGCAATAGACAACCTAACATTTGTTGAGTACCCTGAACCAGCTACTGCTCTAGCCACTGGAGACACAGCAGTGGACAGGAAAGATGATGCCCTGTTCCTTGAGAGCTTACAGTCTTGTGAGAAGCCAATATCTTTGTTGAATCTTGCTGCTTTCTGCGATGCTGCATCAGCAACCAAAAAGAAGTAGAGGCTGCTCAGTTCGCAAAGAAGCCAATTTCTTGGCAGAATTGACAAAAAAGTCACCAGATACAGTTATATACGTGAAAGGTTTCCATAGGTAAAACAAACTTGCACATGGTCTCACCGCATTTCCACCGGCAGGGCAGCCTCAGTGTCTAAGCCCCTGTTGAATGGCACCTCCTGGAAGGGTACCACAAGCTGCACTGCCAACCTGAGACAGCCAGGGCTTTAAGGAGTCATCACAGCTTTGGGGGTTCTTGCAGAAAACGTTCACAATACTCTGACATACAAGGAATGCAAACCGTGTCCATCACAGGTAGGAGGAATCAGGTTGACCCTGCAGCTCTTGGCATCCACCCTTCTTATATATATGTACACACATATAAATATGTGTATATTTATTTATTTATTTATTTGGGGGTTTTTTTTGAGTTGAAGTCTCACTCTGTCGCCCAGACTGGAGTGCAGTGGCCACTCCTGGCCACCGTAGCCTTGACCTGCTGGACTCCGGCGATCCTTCCGCCTCAGCCTTCCAAATAGCTGGAACTACAGGCGCGCGCTACTGCACCCAGCCAATTTTTCGATTTAGTGTAGAGATGAGGTCTCACCGAGTTGCCCAGGCAGGTCTTGAACCCGCGAGCTCTGGCAGATATGTATACATTTAATGGGGAAAATACACACGTGCGCGTGCACACACACACACACACACACACACACACACACACACACACACACATATTTATATTTTATATATATATATATATATTCTCTGATCAAAAGAAAGGGGGCACTCTATAACCAATGACATGAAATAGACTCATACCCTGCCTGAATACTCTGCAATGATCACTGGATTTAGGTTAGAGGAGAAAAAAATGGCTTCCTAAATTTCTGTATTTGGAGGGACCAGTAGATGTTGTGTTTTTGTTTTGTTTTGTTTTGTTTTGAGTTGGAGTCTCACTCTGTCGCGCAGGCTGGAGTGCAGTGGCACACTCACAATCACCCCAGCGTTGATCTACTGGGCTCCGGTGATCCTTCTGCCTCAACCTTCCAAGTAGCCAGAACTACAGGCGCATGCTACCATGCCCGGCTAAGTTTTGATTTATTGTAGAGACGACGTCTTGCCAAGTTGCCAGGGCGGGTCTCGAACCCATGGGCTCAGGCAATCCACTCGCCTTGGCCTCGCAAAGTGCTGGGATGACAGGCTGAGCCACCGAGCCCAGCTGACGTTGTGTTTCTTAATGACTTGGATGTGTGATGGGGTGGGAGAAAAATATCAGATATAATTTATTCAGTGCTTACTGGTACCTACTATGTGCCGATCCTTTGGTAATACAAAAACCAACCATGCAGCATCTCTGCTTCATGGATGGAGTGACCAGGGCAGGGACCTGCAGGAACGGAGCGCTCTGCAATAGGTAAGTGTTCTAAGGGATTTGTGCACGGCACAGAACACTATTGTGTCCAAAACGCACAGCAGTTTCCTCATGTTTATAGTAGAGACGAATTGCTTTCTTCTCATCTCAGAATGGCTGCCTAGAACCCTAGCAAGGAGCCTTGGCTGGAAACTGGAAGATTCCGGAGAATGACGGGGACAGGCTTTAATGTCAGGCCTCGGGATCATCCCATCCGAGGCCACCACTTGTTAAGCCCGCTTAACCTCTGTAGGTCCAAGGTGGTGTGCGACAAGCGTCCCGGGGGCTTGCTGGACAATCATTACTTTTTATTGTTTCTCACTGTCAGGTACTCCGAAATCCACACGGACTGCTCTTCTGATTTCAGGTTATCCCAAAAGAGAAACTCAAGAATCAGTGATGAGCACAGCAGGAGAGGGGAGCCGGCTGCCTATCTCAAAAGGGCACATCACCATAATCACGGATATACCGTGAGCATATGCAGAAGGAATGTGCCGGGGGAGTGTGTGTCAGGAGCAGCCGGGAGGATACATAAACCAGGGGCCCCTCTCTGCATCCCTCTCCCCCGCCACACGGTGCCTTGAAAGTATGTGACGGGCGCCCACATCTCCTCTCTGACCCTGTGGAGCCCCCCTCCCCCAATAGCCACCTTTTCTGCCGTTCCACTCAACCCACCCCGGGTCTCCCCTGGGCTGGCTGTTGCCTTCATATTTCATGCGGAATGTGCAGCCTCCCAGGAGCCGGAGGCATGCCCTGCATTCTGATGCATCGGCTGGCTCTGACACCAGCCAGCTCCAGAGCATGCCTAATGAGAAGGCTGACACCAAGCCAGAAGAGTCAGGCCAGGCTGCGGAGGGCCAGCCGCGGACGTGGAGTGGGGTGACAGGAAGGCGCTCGGGGCGTACCGAGGGGAAAGACAGCGGTCGCCTTTTTGAGACACTGCTCTGTCATCGGATACCACAGCCATGGGCCAATTTAAACGAACCAGGAATGGGTCAGAGCCTCGAAGAAAGAGCAACACGGACCAGGGAGCATCCCTGGGGAAAGCATATGATTAAAAGAGGAAGGAGAAGCAGCGAAGACGAAGAGAAGGTTGAAGCTTTGAGATCGCTCCCATTCCCGTCGGCAGGGCAGCTGCCCATTTTCGAGTTTCTTCCAGTCCAGAGTGTCTCCAAGTTTCCTTAGAGACCATTTCATTATCTAAAAGATCCTGCCCAGCAGAAGTTTTGCCTTTCCTGAAAGCCTCATCTGCCTTCATTTCATGCATTATTTCTCATTGGGACTGGCTAGATCAGGATAAATTGACCCTTGCTTCTCCTGGTATTTAGGGCATTTATGCTGGGGGGTAGAGGACGTGCCTACCCCAAGTATAAAAGGTGTTCTCTCTTGCATTCTCCCTCTCTCTCTCTCCCTCTTTCTGTGTGTATGTGTGTGTCTCACTATCCCAAAGCTACGAGGATGCAATCATCTGCCAGATGAGTGCTAACACTTTTCCTAAGCCTGGTCCTATCTGGTCATCCCATCAACTTGATGGAGTAAGCGAGGCTAGTTCCATTTTACATATGCGAAAACCAAGAGTGACAGAAGTTTATCCAGGACCATACATCAGACCAAGGACTCAAACATGGGCTAGGCGTCAGTACTTACAAATGAGCTGGTTACCCATGAAAAAATTAAAATCTACCATTCCACTTAGGTCTACCTGTAATGACGTAGGGAGTCATGATTTCCAGTAATTTAACTTAGCTGTGATACCAGCAAATGAAATTTTGCATTTACACAAGGAAGATCATTATTTACATCATGAAATCTAACCAAGAAAAATTCTTTAAAACTTTGATTTAGTCATCTTGGTTCTCTGTGTGTGTGTGTTTAATAAGCCCTATGTTTTGCCTCGGGGGCTGATAATTTCATAATAAGAATAGTAATCCTTTACTGAATACTTACTATGTACCTCACCCTTTTCATTAATTGTCTCATGTCATCCTCCTGATACCGTGAGCCAAGCATTTTTGTCCCACTCTGCAGATGAGGAAACTCCTGCTCAAAGAAGTTATACTGCTGGGCTCGGTGGCTCAGCCTGTAATCCCGCGCCTTTGGGAGGCTGAGGTGAGTGGATTGCCTGAGCCCGCGGGTTCGAGACCCGCCTGGGCAGCGAGACCTCATCTCTACAATAAATCAAAAAATCAGCCGGGCGTGGTAGCGCATACCTGTAATTCTGGCTACTCGGAAGGCTGAGGTGGAAAGATCGCCGGAGCCCAGCAGACTGAGGCTGCGGTGGCCGGGAGCGGCCACTGCACTCCAGTCTGGGTGACAGAGTGAGACTCCAACTCAAAAAAAAAAAAAAAAAGTTATACTGACAGGCCAAGTTCGCAAAGCTTGTAAGTGGCAAGACAGGAACTGCCTGATGTGAAACTCCAGGCTTTTAACCCATGCAGATAATGCTCATATTAAATCACTATTCTACTGCCAATATCATACCAATCCATCTTTAAAATAATCCAATGCCCCTTTGTTTTCTAGCATTGCTGTTCTTCCTGTGCTTCCTGTCCACTGGGTTCTTGAAATAGTTCCCTCATCAATACCTACTCTTTTCCAAAGGAATCAAAA